GATCCTTGTTGCATTTGCCATCACGTTCAATGCACTTCAATTGTGACTAATCACATTGTTGAACCTGAGCCATCATCACATCATTAGCTCACATGAATTGTGAAAACCAGCTTAATACAAACGTGTATTAAGCTCAATTCTTTGGTGATCACCTCCTGTTGCATTCAACACTTGAAACATGACATAATAGCTCAATAAACTCCATTAACAAGCTTAGCAGACCTCCAACTTTTTTCCTCAACAGAAAACTCCATAAGATTTACCGCTTATGATTTCTCCAATCACACAGTATCCTCTATAGCTTCTGCCTACACCACATAACTGTTGCAGTGACTAAAATACCTATAACACCTCTGCAAAACTTATTCCCATAATAGCTTCTATAATTTTCTCATGCGCATTGAGATCAAAATCCTTCGAATTTACTCGAAACAAATGCAGATAACCCGAATCAAATTAGCTTCTAACCTGAAGCTCTTTGATTCAAATTTGTAATCAATCTCACCAATAACTAATCCACTGTAGAACTAGAGATTTACCATTACAACTACATGCTTGAACAAACCATCCTGAATATAGCCCTTGTTCAATTGTCTTTTTAAAACAGAACACTCACTAGCAGATTTTAACCACTGCCAGCAACCTTAAACATGTTTCATAACCACACAACCAGTGATAAACTTGAAACAATTCCATTCGGCATAATGCATCAACTCCATAATCCTAAAGTACTCCCTGATGCACTTTCTGTTGCAGAAACAGTCTGCAGCACTTTTACCCATGGGTAAACTCCACCAAAACTTGGTACCCACATCATTATCAATTTCAGACCCAAACTAGAGCCTTCTTCTTCACTATCCTCGCATGATACTTGAAGATGATCCACTTTACTGGCCCGCAAATGTTTTCCCTAAGAAGATACATACATATCTCTTTATGATGCAAACGAACAACTTTAACCTCCATATATAATTTTTTTTCTTCCAAATGTAGTTTGATTTTCTTGCATTTGCATCCTTGATAGGA